TGCGCAAGCGCGTTGTGCGATAGCCCTGTGGAAAAGAGATTGCTGAAACAGTAAACGTACTCCTATTAAAAAACCGAACGAATTTATTTGCCTACCCAATATTAAACAAGCGTTTTTGGTTAGTCTGTGTTTAACTGCGATTGGGAGAGGTTCATTACAACGTGCGCTCGATATTTTTATTTATAAATTTTAAAGATATTCTTCTTACTCATTTTGTAAAATTTTTTCATGTTTGTTCTCCACTTTATTTTATATTTCTCCCAAACCACATGAAAGCAGAACGCGATTTACATCTACTTTTTTGTATGTGTATAATTTGAATTATTGTGCAGCTCAAGCTTCGAGAAACATTAATCAAGCTTTTGGAGATGAATCCATCAATAAAAAAAATGCTCGATATTGGTTCCAAAAATTTCGTTCTGGCAATTTGAACATCGTCAATGAGCCTCGTGGAAGACCACCGATCCATATTGATAACGAGGAATTAAAGACGACTGTGGAATCCGATCCAGACATAACTATTCGTAAACTTGGGACTAAGCTAGTAACTAGCCGTATGGCTGTGTTGAAACATCTTCGTGCAATAAACAAAGTAAAAAAATTGGACTTATATGTACCGTACAAACTGACGGAACTGCAGATTGTCGACCGCAAGAGTAAGTGCGCATCTTTGTTGATTCGCAATACACGATTGCCGTTTGTACACCAAATCATCACTTGTGATGAAAAGTGGATTTTGTACGACAATCGAAAACGATCAAGCAAATGGGTAGATAAGAATACACCGCCAGGACATACCCCTAAGCCGAAATTCCATCAAAAGAAGATTATGGTTACCATATGGTAGAATGCCAAAAAGTGATCCATTATTCCTTCCTACAACCAGGGAAAACCATAACAGCGAAGTCCTATTGCCGTGAAATTGATCATTATGCATGAGAAACTTGTGAAAGAACAACCAGCATTGCTCAATCGGCACGGCATAATATTACTGCAAGATAACGCAAGACCACATAAAGCTTCACTCACTGTTGACAAGTTAAATTCTCTAAAATATGAACTTTTACCACATCCTCCATATTCACCAGACATCTCACAAGACCGATTATTGCCTTTATCGTAATTATGAATTATTTTTAAGAAAAAAAAATACAATAACAAAAAACGATATTATAAAAGACTGAATTGTTTATTAACTCTAAAAATGAAGATTTTTTTTAAAAAAGGCATTTATGACTTGCCCGTTGGCAGAAAGTCGTAGTTGCCAATGGAAATTATTTCGATTAAAAATAATAAATAATGTGAAAAATAGCTTTTTTTGATTTTTATTTCTATTCAACGCCCGTTTAGTACTTTCCAACCTAATAATTTTTCGGAACCATTTATCAGGGCATTTTGAAGACAGTCTGTTGGATATTTATCAAAGATCTTGGCTACATTAAGATAGTGATCCTGCATATTTCGTTTAAGATATCATGAGATTTTCAGATGCGGAATTACCAAATCGTTGAGTAATCCGACAAAGACTAGTTATGTAGCATCTGAGACCACCAGAACTTAATCCTTTCGATTATTATTTATGGATAATCCTGAAAATGTTATATTCCAAAACAAACCAAACACAAAATTAAAGGGAAGTCTTGCTAGTGCACGGTGCGATAACACACATCCATACACATCGACTGGTGCTTAGAATGTTTCTGCTGAATTAGAATATTTGATATTAAATTAGCCAATGAAGGTTATAGAATCGCGCACGGATTAGACATGATGAATAAAATCAACTCTACCTGTTAAGCGATAACTCCACAAACAATCACATCAGTTATACAATTTTAGACTTAACTTGAGTTCAGAAATTAACGATGAACACTTTAATCATTTGATGCAGACAAAGCAGCGTAATGGTAAGGGTTAGGTAAAATAGTTCATAATCCAACGTCATCGGCTACATTATATCTTGTTTTGCCTCCATTGGCCGGATCTCGGCTTATCTTGCCTTCATTGGTCGAAAAGCGGTTCAATATAAGAATAAGAAATTTGAGCGCTATTTTGCATCTGTTGCAGGAGGTTAAGCAAAAAATTACCTGGGACAAAATTTCCTTACGTTCTTATATAGAACACGAATCTACAATGAATCTACAATCTACAGGCATTTCTACAGAATAAAATCAACCTGAGCCATATGGATCCAAAGTAGGCCTCGGAACCAAAATCAAAATAGCTCATCTAATGGCCTTCTTTAAAGCGTAAAATTTTATATGAAATTTTTCCTTAAAATTCATTGTTTTCGAGATATTTTAATGTATAAATTAAAATGGGACACCTCTATAATATAAGGTCTAATAAAAAGTAATCCATTATTTTTGTACAAAATTGGAGGCTTTATTTAACATAGTTACAATGATCCGATTAAGGTCAAATATGCACCGTTTTGTTCGATAACTTGTTGCCATTTCGAAGGTAATTTCATTATGCCTCTCTCATACAAACCCTCGTCCCTATTGGCAAAAAACTGGGAAGGTCGATTTTCACAAGTTTCTTTGAGGCGAATTTTTCACCAGCAAAAAAATTCGCAATAGACAGGACCAGGTGGTAATCACTTGGTGCCAGGTCCGGACTATAAGGTGGATGCAAAAGAACCTCCCAACCAAGCTCCAGGAGCTTCTTGCGAGTCACTATCGATGAGTGTGGCCTGGCGTTATCCTGATGGAACACAATTCCTCTCCTATTGGCCAAAGCTGGCCGCTTCTGGGCGATTGCTTTCTTCAGACAGTCCAATTGTTGACAGTACAGGTCCGAATTACGAGTTTGGCCTTAGGGGAGCAGCTCATAGTAGATAATTCCCTGCCAATCCCACCAAATACACAGCAAAATCTTCCTGACCGTCAACCCTGGCTTGGCCACCGTTTGCGCCGGCTCATCGCGATTCGACCACNCAAATACACAGCAAAATCTTCCTGACCGTCAACCCTGGCTTGGCCACCATTTGCGCTGGCTCATCGCGATTCGACCATGATCGTTTTCGCTTGACGTTGTCGTAATTGACCCACTTTTCATCACCAGTAACCATCCTCTTCAGAAATGGATCGATTTTGTTGCGATTCAGCAGCGATTCGCAGATGGAAATTCGATCCATGAGGTTTTTTTTGCGTTAACTCATGTGGCACCCACACATCGAGTTTCTTTTTGAATCAAGCCTTATTTAAATGGTTCCAAACGGTTTTTTGTGCAATGTTTAGTTCCTTGGCAATCGAAACGGTGCTTACATGACGGTCGGACTCGACGATTTCCATTATTTTATCAACATTTTCGACAATTGGCCTCCCGGAGCGTGGTGCATCTTTGGCATCAAAATTACCGGAACTGAATCAACGAAACCAAAATTGCCCGTGGTTGACTCTTACAGTATCAGGACCATAAACACTATTCACATTTTTAGCCGCCTAGCTTGCGTTTTCGCCTTTATCAAAGAAAAACTGTAAAATATGGCATATTTTCTCTTTGCTGGTGTCTATCTTTGACGCGCGCTCAAACAATACTGAGTCAAGCAGTCACAAAACAGTCTAAGAGGTTTTTTTAGTACGAAATCTTATCTTTCTAACGCCATCTAGCGTAATCCGATCGGACTTATACAACGCGAAATACAGATTAGTATAGCCCTCTATTGGAAAANATAATGGATTACTTTTTACTAGACCTAATATTAATTTTGACTCATGTGTAAAGTGTAAATTTAGATAACCATATACCAATAATCAGAATTGTAAAACGAAATTTATTATTTCAGCAAATCATTCTTTGACATTTGATCATTTTCCTGCAAAAAAAATATCTTGATAAGATAAATAAAGCATGACTCATTAAAATTATAGACCAAAACAGAATAACAATCAATGATATCAATTTACGAACGCTAGGAATCAAATAATATACAGTCTCTGTCCATTATTAGACGCACCTTAATTTTTTACATTTCATTGACTTCCGAGAACCAATTTCGTAATACAGCTCATTTACCGATCAAATTATATTAAAGAATCATTATCCTATAAAATATATTTTTTATGACGTCATTTCATTTAGCTTTTACAGTAACCTGGAACAAGTATAAACCCGCGCTTTATGCATTGTGGATAATAACAAGAAAAAACGTATTTTGACTGTGTCAATTGAAATTTTATTTTATTTTTGTTTATTGGTGACCTGAAAATTCAAATTCCTTGCTTACTATCAGAAAAATAAATTTTGCGTGAAAAACATAAATACTGTTTACAAAAGACATGGGTAAAGTAAGTGATTTGATATCTCAGAAGGTAGTCAAGATAAAAGCACTGACATTAAAAATTATTCTAATGAAGTAATAGTATTAAATGTTTGCATATGAAATCGCCCATTTTTAAGCAAAAAATAGATAGTGTAGCAAATCAACGAACTGGTTCAAAGTATTGCCGGTCGGAATGAACAACTTTGTCCCATCCTTCGGCGAGTAATTGGATTCCACTCAAGAAGAATTCGGGTTCTTTGGAAATAACCCAGTCATCCAGCCATTCTTTGACTCCTTTGAACGAGGTAAAGTGCTGTGCCGTAAGAGCTGACTGTATTGACCAAAACAAATGATAATCGGGGGGAGCAATGTCTGGGGAAAATAGCAGGTGGGGTAGAATTGTCCAGCACACCCTCAAGTACTTCTTAACCTCTTAATCTGTATTCTGACGATGCAGCAGCTAGTATGAGCCGACAGCACGCGTAGCATGTGTAACGATGCAGCATACATACAAAACCCCCCGCGGCATGACTGCTACGCAACGGCATGTCGAAAACCGCGGCGGAAGCGGTATTTAACACTTTGCGATCTGCGGTTTACCCGAAGACGCTTGACGCTTGACCGAAGATGTTTGAACTTATCAAACACATAATACGAAATTAGCTGCGCATATTTGGTTGTTTTTCTTCTTATACAAATGTTGATATCTAAAATCATGATATCATGTGTTTATGATATGTTTCAATTTATCGATTAAATCAATGCTGCCAGATCGCATTGCGACACAATGCTATTAACGGACCGCATCGTCAAAATAAGTACGACGACATCATGCCGTCGAGGGACCGCAAAGTGTTAAGGCCGCTCCGCTGTAAAAAAGAGCTAATTCTACCGAGTCTGTCGGATCGATCAGATCGTAGACTCTCCCGTAGAAGTCGCAGGCGCAGTGTCCAACACCTACCCGTGACAGTGCGTTCGCTGTCTCCACCGAGATTTCCCAGCCTTCTCGCCCGCCGACCGGGTGGATCGGGGATCACGATGAGTCAAGGTGGTGTGTTCGCCGTCTCCGCCGAATACTCTCGGCCTCGCCACCTCGATTTCCAGACAAGGGCAAACACGAACACAGGGGTAAGCATGCGATCCGTGTTGCGCCGAGCGACATCACTGCTGGCCGAGTTGAACGTTGAGGCGTGCGATACTGCGTACATCCGGCCTGTGGTACGAATACCGCCGGAATACCAGACCGATCTTTCTGCTAACTACCGCAGCAGACGGACTCCGACGACTAACCGACGCATAGGCGGTGCAGCTATGGTGCGCCTGTTTCTTGCCACTGCGTCGGTTAGGCTCGCCACCGCCGGGCCGAATGTCGAGGCGTGTGATATCGTGTACACTCGGCTGCCAAGGAGCATGATACCGCGTGCACTCGGTCCGTGGCTCGACTACCGCGAGAGCAGCAACGTGCTCGTCACCGTCGGACAAACCGAGCGCCGAGGCGTGCGATAGCGAGTACGCCCAACCCTTGACTCAATTGTCGCGAGATTGACGGGCTATCTGCCACTAGTGCGTAAACTAAACTC